CAAAATTTGCTGCCAGCCCGACTCGAACCGTTGACCTTGTCTGTGGAGGTTTGGGAGCTTAACCAATAAGCTACAGGGCCCAAAACTCAGTGGATCTTTCTATTGTATACATGATCGTTTAAAATTTATTAACTTTCTTTAACTATTTTTTACAAACATGTTGCAGGGCTTTTTGTTTTAGAGACCTTTCAGATAGAGCGCTATTTAATTTCTTATAACTATCGTCATTACCAACCAACATCTCATGATCACTTTTGTCATTGGTTTCATCATCGTCGATATCTTCAAGCTTTATAGATAAGGTTTGTATTTCTTCTTTCTTCTTCTGATTTTGACTTTCTAACAGTATTTACTTCAATCTTTTCAATTTCTTTCTCATAGCCATGTTTAACCAGACATGTTCTATTGGCATTACCCATATCTGCGAACTTTCAGTAATAAACGAATGCATTATATTCATTTTTTTCAATATCAATTCTATGTTGGTAGTAGAATTTAACATTAGTTTTGTTAACAGAATAGTCTTTAGCATTGGAAAGATATACTACAGAACTTTTGAAATTATACCACAGATTTTTGTATAGATCCAATTCATTGCAGAGACAAGTTCTAAAGATATTTAGTTCTTGGTCACTATCTTTTTGATCTATTTCAGCTAAATCTTGGTAGGTGGGGCCTTGGTTGGCTCTTTTCAACTCTAATTTTATCATTTTCATCCTTTTCGACTTCAATGCAACTTAGCTTTTTATCTTCAGCAGGTTTTCAACGCCATTCTTTATCCTTTTTAATGTCATTTTTCTTTAGAGATTTATAGATGGTCTTTTTAATTCTTGTTGAGCCTATTTCTGTACAATGGTATCACACTTAGCAGCAAACTTTTGGAGGACAGGTTTTAGATCAATATTTCCTTCTTCAAAACCAAGTTCCGCATCTGCTATAGCAGGTCTTTTTTGACAGAGCTTCACGGAAGAGACTTTCAGAACAGCAAATATAGGAAGTGCTGGAGGCAAGCTTATTCTTCTTGTGGTTAGGACTAGTTAGATATATGGTGCAGGTATTCAATTTTTTTCTTTTTATTATCATCTTTTAATATTTTCTCTATTAATTCTATTGTAAGCTCCAGAGCTTTAGGGATCTGTTCTGCATCAAGAGGTCTATTAAAATTTTCATTTACTATTTCTTTACCAATTCGAGTTGTTTCAATGTAAGTGTCCTGAGGATCATAGTACACTTTTTATTTAACCTCCTCACAGCTAGACAAACAGGTAAGATGTATCCTCCAACATCACAATAAATATATTAGGTCTCTTTTTTAGTAGCTTTTTGGAATGGTTTGTACATATTTTTTTTTTTTTTTTTTTTTTTGTATTGGAATGCTTGTTTAACTTTACTGACTCTTTTTTTTTTTTTTTATATAACAGCAACTGGCTGGTACTTGAGGCTCAAAAATAAGATATTACATGACAATAACATATAACAATAGGAAAGAAAAAAAAATATATATATTGATAGACCGGTTCGTTAGTTCAAAAGAAAAATTTAACACAATGTCAGTTCGGACTTGGTATGTTGGTTTGCAACAACAAAAAATCTAACACAAAACTCAATTCATACAAAAAAAACAATTTCACAAAAAATTGTCGAAGTTTAGTGTTATAATAATTCAATTTGTTCCTCATAGTTGTATCATCAAATCTTACAGTCTGGCTGCTTGAGAATTCACAGCTTCTTTTTTGCATTCAATCTCACAGTTTTTAGAGCACTGAAATGGGAACGTTCTATCTCACAGTTATTATCAAAAATGTTAGAGGTGAATTGATCAGAACAACACCTCCAATATAAGATAAAAAGAACAAAGATTTGGCATTTAGACTAAGCACAGTTAACTAATAATACTTAGTAGAAAGATAAGACAGATTTAGACTTGACATAGGTCAAAGACGTCTACTGAGTATTGTTTGATGCACTTTTTAAAGAATGTTGTTACTTAGATTTATTAGATAGTCTTTATTTAACGATTTTATTAAATATAGAAAAAATTGTATATACACTTCTATCTTGGACAAGAGAAATTTGGCCTCTTATGTATAACAAATTTATATAGTAAGAAAAAGAACAAGATTAAGTATTTTTTTCACCTTTTTCATTGAACTGTTATTGAACTCATACTATATAACTCTTTTTTATCTAATTTCAACCCATTTTTCACAGCCATTTTCATTAAAGCTTCAACAAAATGAAAAAAGAAGGCAAGAAGAATGAAGGCTTCTATGTCGACATCTTTCTTTACCTGTCAAATTCATTGACTCTTCTATCAAAGCATGTGCTTTCATCATTTATGGCTACATACCTTACTTGACAAGGTAATATTATTTTAATAGCTGTCATACCGAATTGGATAAGTGTCTTCTGCTTCAATAGGATCATTGATAGGGCTTGGTTTTCATATGATCAACATTTAAATGCTTTATTATAAAGGACTTGGCTTGAGCAGGTTTCTTGCATATGATCATTATGATGGAATTTTGAATCCTAAGGCACTGCAGTATAATAGTGCTTGTATAACAATTTCATACTTCCATTATGCAGAATTCTATATGATTCTTAGATTCTTTATGTACATAGTTTTGCTAGTGACAGTATATATAGATTTTGCTATAAATTATTCAATAAACTATATGATATTTGAATAAATACTGTTAAGATAGTAAATTTTCTTTGTATTCAGAGCAATTAATGCAAGAATGAAAAGGTAATAATAAATCGTTTTATGCTTAAAGTAAAAAAGTTTCTTTATAGTATGTATTTAATTGAAATAGATAAAAATTATATAGTAATTAGCTATGAACTTAAATATATAGCTTAATTTAAATGATTAGATTAATAAATTTATCTTATCGTTAACTAAAGTAAATCTAATAAAGTTATTTCAGATACTTTTAAATTGGAATTGCATATAATGAACACTTATAATAATAGTAATTTTTTTATAGTTTCCAACTAAATTAATGCAATTGAAGGAAAATTAAAAATAAATATAATGAAAAAATAGTTTTTTAAACATTTAATATGCTCACCAACTTTAGTGCAAATTAACTACAATAGATATATAAAATTAGACACATCAAAAAAAATTCAGTAATTGTTATAAAAAATTAAATGATAAATAAAACACTTTATTAAGGTTTTGTTTTTATAGTAAATATCACGAAGCTATAAAAAAATTTGTGATTTAATTAAAACTAACAAAGAACTGCTTTATTTGTTAAACAATTAATTGCCATAGTTTTAATCAAATTAGTTCCATATCAGTACTTCTGAATAGACAATATATAAAGTAAAGCAATCGTTTGTTTCAGGTGGGAAAAGAACTTTGATAGAATGTGAAGAAGTACAACAGGAAAGAGCTATATAAAGTTGATCATGCATAAAAACACCAGTTTGTAAATTTAGCACAACATATGTTAATGACTGCCCTGTGATTTATTTATAGTAATAGCAAATGTGACTCAAACTAGAAATTGTTTTCGCTTAAAAATAAATGGTAGATTTGTTGAAGAAGGGGTTAACATAATATGGAGAATAAATACTAATTTTTCAGCTTGCTTATTACTAAGAATATATACTTCAATAACATGTTTTGTAAGGTGATTTACAATTAAACAGAATCTGTTGCAAAGATTCTGGTTAAAAGCTAGATTATGAAGAAGTATAATAGAGTATCCGTTTTTAAGATTAAGCTTTAAAGGTGGTGTTTCAGAAGGATTAAGAGTATTCTAATATTTGACAGGATATATGTTGCAATTATCAGCTTTCTCTTCAAGTATTGCATTATTAGCACTTAAATATATATGTTTGTCTCCAGGAAATATATCAAGAATAGTACAATTAATATCATAAATATTGTCATTTCGAGCTGCTAAAATCATTCTATCTCTTAGATATTTATCACTAGATATTCTTTGTGTATATTGGGATATACAGTATTAATAATAAAAAAAATGTCAAGACCAACTTTCACATGCTTGGGCAGCAAAATTGTATTATTTAATTCTGACATATTTGTCTCATTTCTTTTTTTTTTGAATATTAATAGTAAGACCATGTTTCTGTCTTTATTGAAATTTAATTAAAATCTTCTATACAGAAAAAATTACTACTTAAATTTCTAATGATAGCAAGAAAAGAAACTCAAACTAGTTTATCTGCGGCCTAAACCAATATTTGTCCTATTCCCAACCTACAATAAATCAATAAAATTTAATAAAAAGAAAGTAAAAATAAAATAATATGTATAACAGAGACATGGTCTCACCATTAATATTCAAAAAAAATAATAATAATATGTATATCTAACAATGTATAATTATCATGTGGTTTGATTATAAATCAATTAGTAATAATCAAATTTTTGCTACTTAAAGTTATAATGATAGTGAACAAATGTTTAATTGAATCTACTTCTAGAAGCCAGTTTGCAAATTGCTTATTTTCATCAGATTCTGTCTCTAATCACATGTTTTTTTCAATATATGAACAATTATATGTTGCTATAGATAAGAATGTTTAAGAGAAGCAACAATTATTTGCTCTCAGAAACCTTTAATAACAATTGGCAAAATTTGATAGAAATCATCACCAAAAACAACAGTAATTTCACTAAATAGATGTTGGTTATTATAGATGTCTTGTAACAAACGATTAACAGCCTCGGCACAAAAGCAGTGCTGCATAAGTACCTTGTTCCAAATAATTAATGCTATTCATTGAAATAGCTTAGCATGATCAGAATTTTTATCAATAATACAAATAGAACTTTTATTTACTTCAAAAGGAATTTTATATATAGAATGTGCTATATAACCACCATAAAGCAAAAGAGAAGTAATACCAAAAGAAGCTACACAGATACCAATTTTCCTTCACTATGAATTTTCATTGCAAGCATATTATAAACAAACATTTTATCAGTTTCAGCAAACCTATTTAGAAAAAATAACTTGCCAAATCCATTAAGTGTTGAGTTAAGAATAATATTATATACAATATACTATTTATTATTCAATTGTAAAATACAATTACTAACTATACTTCAAAGTTCTTCTTGATTATAGGTTAATTCTCAACAATTAGATGATTTTTACAATTAATACTTCAGTTACGATTCCAGAAAGATATTGATAAGCATCTAGCTAGTAATTGATTTGATGCATAGAAAATTTCATCAATAAGAAGAAGATTATAATTATATATTTGATCTTCTGTAGGATTTTTTATAAAGTAATTATAATGTAGTCAAAAACAAGATCATTATATATATTAGCTCGAAACTCTAACCATAATCTTTTTGGATATATAGGATTATACTGTGTAAATAAAAAGGCAAAAAGTGCTCTTAGCTGTGAACTGCTACACATAATTGAAGCTTCTCTCAAACAATATTCCTATACTCCATCATCCTCTAACAGGCTAAAAGCTATGCAAGTGCTTTTGAATATTGGAAATTAAATATTATTAACTGTTCTTAGATAGTCAAATAACTAAGGCCCACAAACAATGGTTAGCAAAAGCTAAAAATAGTAACGTTTTCTAGCAGAAGGGTCCACAAAGTACAATCGATCAATAGTAAATCCCTTTTTTTGAATAGTCTATTTCTTGGTTGTTTTATTTTACACAAAGTGCTGTGAGAACTTTTAATATATATATTGTTATACAATCTCCAATGTGATACATGTTTTAAAAAATTTTGTAAATATTGTTTTTAATTTAGCATATCAAAAAGCATAATAGCAACATTTTTAGTTGGGTCAAAGATTACTGGATGTCTTCGCAGAAGATGCAGTGCCAATCTTATAACAATCAGTATTTCTTCATACAAATGCATCCTAAAAAGTCGCCAAATCACTTATGATAAACTAATATATCTTGTATCAAAGTACTGTTTTATTTTATCAAGCTTGTGTCTAAATTGTATAGTTGTTTGATCATGTTCTTTATAAATATATTTGTAAATATATTTGATGGCCTAATGAAATAGTTGGTAGTCGAATATATAAAGTAAAAGCATTAAGTTGTTAATTAAATATGATTCACTAAAAATTAGTATATTTAAACATAACATATATATATTCGTACTGATGTATGCACTTTAATATTGATATAACAGTTGTATTTTCTACTAAGAATAGGGTTATACAGAATAACATCTCTATTATTAACAGTTTTTTCACTAATAATATATATACAACCATTAGACCTTCTAGCATACTAAGAATATCTATCTGTATTTATCAACATTACATTACAAAAGTCTTTTAGATAATGTTTTTGATATTGATCATTTTTCATACATAAAATATAAATCACAAGAACCATGAATCATACAATATAATATAGTGTCAAATAGTACTAAATCTGTTTTTTTGTTAGGAAACTTTGCATATATGATATGATCAATGTTAATAGAATTCTTTATTTTGTCTGTATTATGAAGAAAGAATAAAAAGTATATATATGAGAGGCTACATTTCTAAAATTTAATTGTGTAAATATAAGCAACTACTTTGCTAAAAATATTATTATTTTTAATGTCTTGAAGAAATACATGCCGTTTAAGCTCAAAAACACGTATAACCAAATCAGGTCTATCTACTAGTACTTATCTAAGCAACAATGCATTAATAATTTTTGACCAATTTGAATTTGCTATTATAGTACTAAAAATATTTGGATGATGAAA